ACACCAAAAATGATATATTCATAATGCTATGTTATATTGTTTATAATTACAATGTGTCTTTATATAATTCCATAAAAATATGTATTTATATGATTAAATTTTTTTATTTAAAATTTACTTTTAATGTTATATAGATTTATTTATTTAATAATAATGATAGTAATCTTAAAATCTTAAATTGTGTTTGATTTGAGAGTCTACAAATAATTATACACTTTTAATTTTAATTACATAAATTAAATATTTTAAAATTTAAATAACAATAATTATTAATTATTAAATTTCAACTATCAAATCTAAGTCAAGATATATCTACAAAATTAATCCAACCCACCTCTTATATATTCGGTCATAGGGGCCCAAATCCACGTGTAACAATCCTAGCCGGCCACTTCACTAGGTCCACCCCTGGACGGTCACACGTGTTTTCGTTCCACTGGGTTTAATGTCTCTGTCCGTAGTATCTCGCCACTTGTCGGAGCTCCACATTACCGACAGGCCCATGAAAATGGCCGAGAAAAGAGATAAACAATAACGTGAATCCAAAAAAAAAAACAAAAAAAACCTCCGTCATCTGCAACGTTAGGACACCGGGGACCCCTTCACCTTCTTCCCACAGATCTTAACAATCGCCGACGAACATTTAAAGCAACAACTTTTGATATTTCAAAAACGGATCGGTCAAGGACACTTTGGTCCATTCCATCTATTTTTCTCAGTTTAAATATTACCATTCCACTGCCGGAGTATTTCATGCACTTTTTGTTTGTTTTTATTTTTCTTCGTTTTTGTTTTTGTTTTTGTTTGATATATATATATATATGCCGGATTGAGGAGAACACAAGGAGATTTGGAGCGCTTGTCTCATTTTGAGTTTATAAGGTGTCAGAAACCAGAAGGTTGTTTGGTTCTTGAGAAACTTGTGAGGGATCTTGGGTCGTGGTGGTTTTTCGTTCGAAGGTGATTGGGAGAGATGGGTTTCTTTAGCACTATATTCGGTTTTTTTGGATTTGGAGTTGGGATTTCGATGGGTCTTGGGATTGGTTATTACCTCTTCATCTACTTCCAGCCTACTGATGTTAAGGTATAATTCTTCTGCTTCTAGCATTGCATTCAATCTAATTGAATATCTGTATGATTTTGTGTTTGTATTGGTAGATCAAACTCCTGATCCCTTTTTTCTTTTTTTTCTTTTGATTTTGTTGATTTGTGAAATGGTTGTTTTAAGCTGAAAGTATATGTGGAATTAAGAATCTTATGTCTTCTCACTTCAAATTCATAGCAACCAAATTCACAGTAGCTCGTCTTGCTAGGTGGGAATTCTTGGGATCGTTTTTGGTGTCAAGATTCCACGAATAGAAATAATGGAAAGATTGTTTTCTAACTTCTTTGAGGAGTTTCAGAGCCAGAAATCTAGAGATTGCCAAGGATAGAAATAAAGGAGAAATTGTTTCACCACGTTCTTGAGAATCTTGAGGGATAGAAATAAAAATAGCTAGTTATCTTTCCTGATTGACTTGATCTATTTTTTAATGGGTTTTGTAATTCATGTCCTGTAGTTTGTTTACCTTGGAGGATCTTTATATTACTGTTAACTATTTTGTCTTGTAAGACAGCTCTTCTTTACTGTATCTGCTGTGGTGTGCAGCATGCCTGAATGAATAAACTAGTTAAATCCATTGTTTTGGTAACTTGTTAACAAGGAGGAAATAGCGTTCTCAAAACTGGTTTAACATTTAGAACGCAATGAGTTTCTGTTTGCATTTGAACGATATGCAAGTGATTGTTACCTAGTGGCTTCAAATGTCTTGGTTCAACGAAAAGTAATTAAGTAGTTGTTGGCTGGACTCAAACACATGATAGTAATATGTCACTTGTGAAATTATTCAACTCTTTTTATAATTTCTTTACTGATCAAAATGGAAGTAGGAACACAAATGCCAGGTTAGTGGCCTAGTGGGAGTAGGGGGAAAAAGAATTGGGCAAATTCCTCCCACTTGTGAATATTTAAAGACTTCCCTGAAATATTTATCAGCACTTTCCATTGTCTAATTGGTTACTGTTTGCTTGTCAGGATCCTGAAATCCGTCCACTGGTTGAGCTAGACTCAGAAACTTTGCAACGGATGCTTCCTGAGATACCACTATGGGTGAAAAATCCAGACTATGATCGTGTATGTCATTAATGTCCATTACATCTTCCTCTGCTATCCTTGTCTTTTGTCTTGACTGATTTGTTTATCTATCAACTTCATTCTTTATGTTTTTGTTTCTAATGAAGGTTGACTGGCTAAACAAGTTTATTGAATACATGTGGCCTTATCTTGACAAGGTTTGTGTTTAGATCGGACTCACATTTACCATCATTAGTAACTTATTGTTTTGCTTTGTATATTATCTGTTTGTTTGGACCTTCTTTTAAAGCTCATTTACTTTAAGCCTTTTAGGCCATTTGCAAGACTGCCAAGGATATTGCCAAGCCAATAATTGAGGAGCAAACTCCCAAATATAAAATTGATTCCGTTGAATTTGAGACACTGACGTTAGGGTCGCTGCCACCAACTTTTCAAGGTTAATCTACTTCTCATCTGTGGTAGTTGTTTCTATAATCTGCTAATATCTTATAACTTTTTTTTGTATTAGAAAGGAAATCACCACAAAAGCTTATGATATTTGTATTAATGTAGCTGTTTTCATAGAACATAACTTGGAGAAGCTGCCATCTAAGTTGACATTTCCACATGTAATCTTTTTGGGTTCTACTGTGTTTCTTAAATGTCAGGTATGAAAGTTTATGTCACTGATGAGAAGGAGCTGATTATGCAACCATCAATAAAGTGGGCTGGAAATCCTAATGTTACCGTTGCAGTAAAAGCATTTGGATTGAAGGCAACTGCTCAGGTTATTATATTTTTCAGTAGCATGTGGAAAATGTTTTGACAAAGAAGTATTTATGTTGTGGAACTAGAAGAGAAGTTGCTATTTATTAATTTGTGTTGTTTGGTTAATTTCAGGTCATAGATTTGCAAGTATTTTTGGCACCACGTATCACACTGAAGCCCTTGGTTCCAAGTTTTCCCTGTTTTGCTAAAATCTACGTATCACTAATGGAGAAGGTATGTAATTGTGGATAAGATGAAGTTTTTATTCAAATTGTTTGTATCACAAGTACATCTTTTGTTTATAAGGTATTTCAATTTTAAAAGATTAACATGTCTTTACAGGTTAATACATGATATTCCTGAAATGTTTAAATTGATGTTCTGATAAGTTATGCTTCATACTTTCCTAACAATCTATTTAAAAAGGACCTGAGAAGAATGAATTATTTGATTTTTATAATGAGTTTGATGTTGGTAAGGGAGGATTACTTATGGTGGTTTTGTCATTTGTCTTCCCTAATGATCAGTTCATCCTTTTTCTATGTAGCCTCATGTTGACTTTGGGCTAAAGCTAATGGGGGCTGACCTTATGTCAATTCCTGGCCTGTACAGGTTTGTTCAGGTAATATACTTCAATGGTCCACTGTGGATCTTACATTTTTTTTTTTTTAGTTATATTCTAATAACTCATTCTAGGTTATTTGAAATGGGAACAAAATTTCCTAGTTCATGGTTTTTAATGCTAGAAGGGGTTTTACTGCAGGAGCTTATCAGAGATCAGGTTGCCAACATGTATTTATGGCCCAAAACCCTAGAAGTAGGAATTTTGGATCCAGCAAAGTATGTCTCGCTGATACTGTTTTTTCTTTTTAATGAATTATGAATATGATGCTTCATTTTTCATTCACATGTTTTGCCTGATAAATCTATTTTGAACTTGCAGAGCCTCTAGGAGACCTGTTGGAATACTCCATGTGAAGGTTCTGAGGGCAATGAAGCTAAAAAAGAAAGATCTTCTTGGTGCATCAGATCCATATGTGAAACTAAAGCTTACAGAAGATAAAGCTCCATCAAAGAAAACAACTGTGAAGCACAAGAACTTGAACCCTGAGTGGAATGAGGAATTTAATATTGTTGTCAGAGACCCACAGACTCAGGTTTTAGAGCTGAATGTTTATGACTGGGAGCAGGTATGCTCTTCCAAATTAATTTCTCATCTGGGTTTTGTTCTGTAATCTAAAACATTCTTTGGTTGGCCAAGAAAACAAGTTCTGTCTTCTAAAACTGTTTGTTCTCTTTCTCAGGTTGGCAAGCATGATAAGATGGGTATTAATGCCGTTCCTTTGAAAGATCTCATTCCTGAAGAGCCAAAAGTTATGACTCTTGATCTCCTTAAAACCATGGACCCAAATGATCCTCAGAATGATAAATCACGTGGCCAGATTGATGTTGAATTATTGTATAAACCCTTCAACGACGATGACTTGCCAAAAAGCTTTGAGGAGTCAAAGACCATGCCGAAAGCTCCTGAGGGTACACCTGCTGGTGGAGGTCTGCTTGTAGTCATAATCCATGAAGCTCAAGATGTTGAAGGAAAGCACCACACAAATCCATATGTCCGGATTCTTTTCAGAGGGGAGGAGAGGAAAACTAAGGTAATATTATGACACTATCATTTCCGTTTTCCTCACAGAATTTATCTTTTCTCACTCACAAGTTCTTTACATACCTCTAAAGAGTTTACTAATTCGTACCTTTCACTAGATCCTTATTTTCTGTCATCAATAAGTGTTTGTCTGCTTACTGTTAAGTATAACTACCGTTGAAGTGGCATTTAGTTGTACCTTTACGAAAGTGTCTTTATAAGTAATAGGAAAACAAAATCTCGAGTAGGTTGTGTAACATATTCCCAAGAAATGATCTATTTTATAATTAATGGTGCAGTATATAAAGAAGAATAGAGATCCAAGATGGGAAGAGGAGTTTACATTCTCATTGGAAGAACCCCCCATCAATGATAAACTGCATGCAGAAGTTCTTAGCACCTCTTCAAGGATGGGTATCCTGCATCCAAAGGTACTTACTGCAAAGTAGTTTATATATATCTGGCACCTGATAGTTTTCTCGCAATTTCCTTCACTGAAGTTAGTTTCGTTAGCCTAGTTCTATTAGAGACAGAAAAGAGTGTTGGTTTTGCATTTTGCTAAAATGGTTTTGAGTACAATTCCCCAACCTCTGGATGCTACTAACCATGTTTTGCTTTGGTAATCAGGAATCCCTAGGTTATGTTGACATCAGTCTTTCAGATGTTGTTAACAACAAAAGGATCAACGAGAGGTACCATCTCATAGACTCAAAGAACGGGCGGATCCAGATTGAATTGCAATGGAGAGCAGCAGCTTAAGCAAACCGTTCCTTCCCCTGTTCCTTTTCTTGTTCATGTTACTTCAATTTTTAGAATTTACACTGCTCATTCTGCCATAAACTTCTTGTTCATGTACATTGGTTGTAACAATAGTAGCCATGTCCATTGTAATTTGAGCTTTGTCTTTTTTTCCTTTTAGCGCTTTGTTTTCCTTGTGTACTTTTGAGGCTTGATCACATGAAAGAATATGCTTAGAACAAAATTGAAGGGTTCCATTCACCTACTTAATGTTTGGCTAAAGTAAAATTTAAAATCTGATTCTCTTTCTTTTTGAAAAAAAAAAGGTTGAGAAGTCCAAAAAGGAAAAATAAATAGTCCACTAGAGTGGTTGGTGGGCTAGTATTTCTTGTCACTGATTGAGAGAGAGTAAAGACTCAGGAATGATGGTAAAGTGGAATTTGGATTGTATTCATTGGATTGTAGGGTTCAACCGCTCTCCTCTCCATAAATTGCGAAGTCATGAAAAATAAAGTGAACAGGACGCTTTTATTTTTTTGGGAGTATCACTACCTTTGTTATGGATTATGTTATTTTTGAAGAGAATTGAGGTCTCCCATGTCTTTTTCTTTTTTCTCTAATCCTAGTATTCAAAAATTATGTTAAGTATTTATTTTTTTATTATAAAATTTATATTCAAAATTTTATTTAAAAGTAGTTAAAAAAATTTTCACTCTAACTAATAAGTCATTAGTTTTTTTTTTTTCTCCTTTGTGAGTATACAAGTTTAAATTGAATTTGAGAAAAACTGATGTTTTGGATATTGAAATATTAGGATTGATAATAAAAATATTAAAATATTTTTAATAAATCAATACATAAAAATAATAATTCATTAAAAATATTTAAAATTTGATATTTAAAGTATAAAAACATCTTAATATTCACTTTTTTCTTTTCTATGTACAAAAAAAAAAAAAAACTTTGATAGCCAAATTTTTTCTAAAAGAAAAAAAAACGACTTTCAAGTCCATAGTCATGGGAGACGTGGCAAGCTTACCCATGTTAAAATGAGCTCCATCGCATTCCATTAGCACTCTCCGGCTCAGTCTAATCTCGTTTCACTGGTTAAAATCCTCGGTTTCAATTTCGTGGAAGCCTTATCATTCGCAACTTCACTCTAACACTCTGACCGTTTCCTCTTCACAAGCTTGCAGTTGCCGGAGAAGGGAGATTTCCATGGCGTTACCGGTCGTCGATACTGAGTACCTCAAGGAGATCGACAAAGCTCGCCGCGATCTCCGTGCTCTCATCGCCTTCAAGAACTGCGCTCCCATCATGCTCCGCTTAGCGTACTCTCTCTATCCTCCTTGTTTGTTACTCGAGAAAATGGAAGAGATGCAGAGGAAATTGAATTTGGAACAAAACGAGCACGCACACTCACACTCACACACAGATGCAATCAAAGTAGTATTATTATAAGATAACAGGAAAACTCGACTAGTGTTTTCCTTTTTCGACTATATTTTGTATTGATTTATTGTTTGTTCTCTGAAGATGGCACGACGCAGGAACTTACGATGTCAACACGAAGACTGGTGGACCTAATGGCTCCATAAGGAACGAAGAGGAGTTCTCTCATGGCTCCAATAATGGCCTCAAAATTGCTCTTGATCTTTGTGGTGAGTTTTTTCTTTACTCTTTTTTGTTTTTTTTGTCTCGGCACTGTTTTTCATGTAATTTTTAAATATAGGTTTCATCTTGCGTATTATGATTTTGTAATTGGATGAGTAATGCAATTTGAATGAGCAGAGAGCTGTTGCCTGTATCAGATTTGTTTGCCAGAAGGCACTTAGAATTTAATTACTTTGTATTTTGCTGTGGTTTACTGGTTTTCTTTGTCTTGTATTTGTGTCATTTATATATATGATATTTCAGTTAGTATTTGGATATTTGTTAAAGATTTGTTTGAAATTGGAACCTTTTAACTTAAGAGTGTTGTTTCTTTAACAATACAGAAGGAGTGAAGGCTAAACGTCCAAAGATTACATATGCAGACCTGTACCAGGTGATTTTATAGACGATTCTGGTTGTTTGAGACTTTGAGTCGTAATTTCTTCATTTTGCAAACAGAGACACGTTAAAAGATTATGACCATAGATATGTTAGTGTTACCTTCACAAGCTTGGCAGATAATATTTATGAGCACTAAAAGATTTGTTTTGAAAGATGTCATTAATTCTAGGGCAATGGATCTGTAATGTCTGCATACATGTTTAGAGATGGAGGAGTAATGAGCACATTAGCTGTTATTAAAAAGGGATTTATATTTTGACACAAAGCTGGAAGTCAAAATTCAAAAGTCATCTTAAATTCCTGGAATGGGTCTTGCTGTCTTTGTTTCTTGTAATTTAGAAGTAATTCGCACTTAATACATTTAGATAAAATGGTAACTTCTGGAGGAATTAGTTGTAGGATGTCATGGATTGTAAGTTTTTGTTGGGTTTACAGAAAGACCATGCTGTTCCAGGCCACGAGCAGAGTGCTTTGTCTTTTTACAAATTATTGTATATTAACACCAAAAGGAACTGTCTGATATCTGATAGGTAATTAAATTATTTGCCCTTTCAGCTTGCAGGTGTTGTAGCAGTTGAAGTCACTGGAGGCCCAACAATTGACTTCGTACCGGGTAGAAAGGTATGCCGCTGGGGTGAATCTTGAATAGCTTGCTTGTTGGAAATCTCCCACATTTGATTAATATGCTTTTTTATCAGGATTCAAATGTATGCCCCAAGGAAGGTAGACTTCCAGATGCTACAAAAGGTAATATGTGCATGCATTTTATCCGACTAGATATTGACAAGGAATGAAGAGCATTTGACAAAACAATGTAACCATGGTCTAACTGCTAGTTTTGTGTGATTCAATAGATTTGTTTCTTTGCCCCTGTATTTTCCAGTTCTGATAAGCTATTAGGGGCTGCTTGGTATATATCATTTTAGTATTACCCTGCTTGATGGTATGGGCAGCATATGCTAGGCTTACATGTTTTGGTGGCTGCCAGTTCTCTACTCTAATGGATAATTGTTGGTTTGAGTGGAACACTGGCTAAAATGTCATTGGAATCAACAGATAATGCCACAGCCACCTCATGTAGTTATGGTCCAGCTTGGCTCTTTCTATGAATTTATGATAAGGCATACAGTCTGGATTGGTACGAAAATGACTATATGGTTATTGCTTTCTTGGGGCAGCTTTGAATTTTACTTGACTGCCAGTTTCACGGTGTGGAAATTTATTTGTTTCAATACATAGTTCTTGTTGAGTAGTTTCATTTGATTTTTGTTATTATTATTATTATTATTTTTGGCAATCATATGCTATAAGCATGACCTAAAGTTACATGCAGAGTTAGCTGAGAGTTAGTTAGATGGACCGATAAATAGGTATGGAGGGAGTACTAACAAACTTCCTCTCAGTAAATGGTTTATATTCATATTGGGCAAACTAATTTCTGAGTAACCTTTTATCAATTGGTTAGCCCAATTAACTAAAGTACTTGATTAAATCCACACTCCTAGCAAGCTTGCCAAATATCCCTTAATAAGCTTAAAATCAGATACTCAAATGTGCTTGAATGGATTTGAGGGTGAATTTTTCATATTTTATTGTGAATTCTGGTGACAGGTGTGCCCCATCTGAGGGAAATCTTTTACCGGATGGGTCTGTCTGACAAGGATATTGTAGCACTGTCAGGGGGCCATACTCTGGTACTTATCTTTGCATGTCTATATATAACAATTCACAGTTTCTTTGTAATTGATACAAAATCAGAATTTTCTTGGTTGGCTTTGGCATTTCTAGGGAAGGGCTCATCCTGAGAGGTCAGGTTTTGATGGCCCTTGGACCCAGGAACCTCTAAAGTTTGATAACTCATACTTTGTGTAAGATCAAATCTGCTGTTGGCAAGATATTATCTTCTTTTTTCTTCTTAACGAGAAATTTATGGGCCTTATGAGTTAACCAATATTCTAATTATTATTAATCAGGGAGCTTCTGACCGAGGAAACAGAAGGTCTTTTGAAACTTCCAACAGACAAGGCTTTACTTGAGGACCCTGAGTTCCGCCGTTACGTTGAACTCTATGCAAAGGTAATATTTGTTTTTGTTTTTTTTTTTATTAGTACATTTGGTGATGGGTATACAACAAGAAATAGCCCTCTCCCATTTCCAAATTCCCTCACTCGTCCCAAGGTTTGAACTTCAAGCCTCCAACTTGGAGTCTCAGGTTCTTATTTGTTGAGACATCCTCCTTGGGGGCACAAAGGTGATATTTGCTTATTCACTTTATTCTTATCATACTTGTTGCTTACCTAATTAATATGCAGGCAGCAGGTAAGGTAATTCTTTGTTTTATTTTCTGATGTTAAATTTGCAATGTTACTAACTAGTTGAAATATAGTTTAGATTGGAGTTGCTCCAATGTGTGTGTTTGTTAAACCTGTGTAGCAATTTTTCACTAATTTTGATGACCACTTATGCGTTGGCAAAGCTACTCAGGCCTATCATGCAAAACCACTGGCCATTTATTTGTCCTACTCAGACCTGAATTCAAACCTTGCTGGCCTGGGATCAAAACCCTCTAAACTGTCAAAAATACTTGTCTTGAATGAATTTTTAGGTCTTGTTTCATCATTACCCTTGACCTAACCAACTGGCCAATACCAACTATTATGCAATGAGAAGCATCAATTCAGGTGGGTGCATGGTTAAAGTGACAAATAAATACCAATCTCCAAGGTGGGTGCATGGTTTTATTGATTTTGTGGTTGGGCTGTCTTCTCCAATGCCTTGCTACAATACTTTTTCTCTAAACAGGCTACCATCACTCTATTTTTATTTGCCATTTTACCATAACCGTCTTATCATGATGTGATTTTTCACAAAAATTTGGCTCATCCTTGTCTGATGTGGTTCTCACTTTTCTTCCTCACTTTTGGAACTCGGCAGGATGAGGACGCATTCTTTAGAGATTATGCGGCATCACATAAGAAACTATCAGAACTTGGATTTACTCCACGTTCCTCTAGCACCAAGCCAATTGCGAAGGATTCCACCATACTGGCACAAAGTGCTGTTGGAGTGGCTGTCGCTGCTGCTGTGGTGATTCTAAGCTACTTCTATGAAGCTCACAAACGAATGAAGTGAACAGTGCCACTTAATATTCTCTTTCTAAATATTGTTTCTGCCACCCTATCGATTAGCAGAATTGGGTCATATTAACAAGCAAGCTGTCTATTTCTTGTTTCTATCTCATAATGTTGACTCATAGGGGTCATATGAGTGCCACCTAAATACTTTTGTTGGAAGATGGATATGGTATTATAGAATACTGTCTCTGGCCTGAACTTCATAAATAAAATGCAATTGATATTAGATGTGATATCTCTTATCTATTCTGAATGTACTCAAGAATGTTTCTCTCACTTCAATCTAAACACTCGCAGTAAATTTAAATTTCGTAGAAGGTATTCAGACCATTGTGAAGGTATCCCTTTTCAATTCAAACCACATCCGTACTTGGGTTCTGGCTTTGTAACACTAACACTTTCATCTGTTATAAAGGATATAAGAAGCTTGACTTAATCAGGGAAGCATTGCATGTTTATTTTATTTTTATTTTTTTTTTCAATTAGTTTAATATTTTACAATTTAAACTTCGAAACACTTTTTTGGGTTTTTTTGATAGGCTGGTCTATTATATCTTTTTGGATGAAGCCCAGAGAAAGGGATCTTGAAAAGATAATATCTCAAATGGGTATGTGTCCCCATCAATAATTTAAGTTACCAAATTTATAAGACAATTGTTGTTGTGAGAGAAGCCATTTTTGAAGGCCTAAGCTGTTATCCAGCTGTGGGCCAACCGGCCAAGTAAACGTCAACTGAGCAAAGGTTGAGACTTGAGTGAGTCCCACATGGTGGGGGAAGGACCAAAGGGGCCAGCCGAAAAATGAGGTAGGTAAGGTTCTTACTGTCTTAGGACAGCTCCTCTTAGCCTCAGTTCAGTGCCTCAGCACATGATATCCACGTGCTGCTTCGCTGTCTATCACCATACTCTAATTATTGCCCTTCTCTTTGAATTTCCTTTTAATCAATCTTGTTAATTACTATAATTTTAAATTTTAATCTTAGTAATTCTCTTGTTAATTAGTTTTGTAATCATGTTGTATTGCAGGGAAACTGGCCCAGATGGGTACCGGTGGTGGATCAACGCTGCTGTTGAAGACCTAACTGATCGTGACCACGAGTGTGGAGTGCCGTCTGATTGGAACAGGTGAGGTATTATCAATTAATGCGTGTAGGTACAAGTTTGATCTATCATTTAATGAGTAATTACTTGCACTATTCACCTTCCCACTGCCGATATTTTTCTACTTTTGATCCCATCCATATCTATGGACTTTAAAAGGGGCTCAAAATTGTTGTTGCCTTTAATTCTAGAGAGTAGAGAAAGGGGAAAATGAGGATAAGTTTAGGTGGGTTTGTGTAAAAAAAAAAAGGATAGGGTCTTTTTTGGGTAGGGGGAATAAAATCTTGAATGGTGCCACAATAGTTCAACATCAAAGTGAGGGCACCGTTGGACTAGGCGCAGGGAGGGACAGTGAGAAAGATGAAAAGTAGGTGAAATACAGACACAGTACACTGGCAGATAATTATACAAGTGGACCTCTACCTATCTTTTTCCCTCCTGAAAACAACTTGTGCCCATCTTTTAACCCTTTACCATCATCCACTTGAATTTCATGATATTATGTGGTGGGTACAGAAAAATGCTAATTGGAGGGGAGATATGTTAGATACCAACAAAAAGCTGAATCAAACCTTACCCCATTCCTAAACCTGCCCTTGGGTCTCCTAAACTTGCACCACAAGGTTAGGGGTAAGAAAAAGGAAAAGTGGAAGGTGAACCAAAGCCCACATACAACTACAACCACATTCATTTCTTTTCCTTTTCTTTCATCATCCTGCCTTCAACCCAACCTCCAACTCTTCTAGAAGCCCTCCCTCCTCTCTCTCATCATGCATGATAGTATACCAGTAGAATAAAGAACTACAACTACCTTCTCTATATTATGTATAAGAGTATAGCCAATCCACCGGGACAACTAACTAAAATAGAATCTTTAATATATATTTTTTCATCAAGAAAAAGAAAAAACTATTCTTTATCCCTCTTAAGTAAAATTTTCTTCAGAGAACTCTCATGACTTTGGAATCTTGCTTGTCGAATGATTTGTGATAAAGTTGCAATTTTGATTAAATATTAATTGGGGGCTCTTCAGGTGGGGGACATATATATAAGAATGAAAATTCCACAAACCCACCTTATGGATGTTAGTTCCAACAACATGACATAGATGTGTTCGGTTTACATGTATTCTGGTTCATGTTGTCTAGTGGGTTAGGGAAGATTAAGAAAGCTAACTGAATTTTTCTTTTTCTTTTTTGAGGGAAAGAAAGCTAACTGAATTATTAATCTAAAGTAGTGGCGAAGGGTTCAGAAAAATTAAAAGGACAGGTATATATATGATCACACTTTTTTTTGTCCATACTTTTAATAGCTTACTTTACACCTACCTAAAGGTTAGCTACAGTTACGTTTCTTTAACATCTTATTTGATTGATGCTAAATTGCTAATATCATCAAGAGAGAGGCCACCAGCCACTCCCTCTAACCTGTCTCACCAACTCGCATCTAGAAGCAATTAGGGTCACTGCCCTTCTCTCTCTCTCCCTCCTTCTATCTCAAGTAATAATAGTCAAAAGGCTATAAAACCACATCTCAAGTGCGCTCAAGGCCGGACTTGATGCAACACAAAAAACAAGGTCTCCATTTCTACCATCACATCCTCTAAAATATTCCTTTAAACAAGGAAGGAAGAAGAAGAAGAAGAAGAAGAAGCCCCAGACGAACTGTGCTAGTTTCTACTTGTAATTCCACTCAATGGGAAGGTCTCCTTGTTGTGAGAAAGCTCATACAAACAAAGGTGCATGGACCAAAGAAGAAGATGATCGACTTATTGCTTACATCCGGGCCCATGGGGAAGGCTGCTGGCGCTCCCTCCCAAAGGCTGCAGGCCTGCTTCGATGCGGCAAAAGCTGTCGTCTCCGGTGGATCAACTACCTGAGACCAGACCTTAAACGTGGAAATTTCACTGAAGAAGAAGATGAGTTCATTATCAAGCTGCATAGCCTCCTTGGTAACAAGTAAGTTAATTAGACTCTTATCAAACTTTCCATGAGAACTATTCTGAAAAAGTTGATTTTGATGGGTTTTTGTTTTTATGACTCTTGTTTACAGATGGTCTCTTATAGCTGGGAGACTACCAGGAAGAACAGATAATGAGATAAAGAATTACTGGAACACGCATATAAAAAGAAAACTACTGAACAGAGGTATTGATCCTGCAACTCACAGACCCCTCAATGAGGCTGCCGCTCAGGAAGTTGCAACAATTTCTTTCAGTGGTGCTAAAGAAGAGATGGAGAAGAACTCTAACCTCCTTCTCTGCAAAGATGAGAAGACCCCAACTCAAGAAAGGTGTCCTGACTTGAACCTGGATCTCAGGATTAGCCCTCCTTACCAACCTCAGCCTGAGTTACTGAAAACAGGAGGCAGAACTCTCTGTTTTGTCTGCAGTTTGGGTCTGCAAAACAGCAAAGAATGCAGTTGCAGCATGGGAAGTCCAGGCAGTAGCAGTGGCACCGCTACAGGGTATGATTTCTTAGGCTTGAGAACTGGTGTGTTGAATTATAGAGGCTTGGAAATGAAATAAGAGGGAATTGGGTTAATTTCTTTTTCTTTTTTTTTTTAATTACCATATGTAGCTGAGAACAGAATGGAGGGAAATGAGAGAGATTGTTATTAGTCTGAAATCTCTGTTAATTTTCTCTAATTAATCCCTGCTCTGTACGAATTATTATATGACATGGTGATATATACTTCTATTAGTAGTATAGATGATTATTACATGCGAATGTTTTGAATTACTTGGTATATAATTTGTCCACTTTACAGTACTATTTTAGTTATCTTTTCCCTTTTCCCATCCAAAAACAATCCATCTTTTCCCTTTGTCCTTTCAAGAGAATAGGCACAGGTCTGCTTTCAATTTTGCTTTTACCCCTTTCTTCCACTTTGCCTCCACAAGATGTTCAAGGTCATGTGTATCATATCATGGTGGATGGCGCTTGTTGCTACTATTCACTGAAAACTAGAGTAATGGTATGGAGAAAGAGAGAAGAGGGAGATTCTTCCCTTTGATTTTTCTTCGGTATAGCAGTTAATTAGTTGAAGTTTGGTCAATTTGCACAGCAAATCATCTATACTAAACCTAGAACATTCATAAGAAATTACTCTTTATTATTTTTTTTCAAGAATCAAACCTAGTCAATTCAGTAAAGAGTAGACCCACCTATCAACGATATTACGTTTTCTTCACTTTATATCTTTTAGACAAAAATGATTTTTTTTCTTATATTATTCAACTCAAAAAAGAAGGCAAACTGTAAATCGACAAGCATATTTCTTGCATTTGTAAAACTTTAGAAGAAAAAAAAAAATCACACTTTGTGCATTTTCTTTCTTTCCCATACTGTTTGTGATAAATGATGATTCATGTCATGACAAATAAGGAAAATTATAGTAACTTTTTTATTTCCTGTTCTTTTGATTTTCGATTCTTTTTCGAGTTTGTCTTTTTGGGCAAAAAGGGCTGATTTTCATTCGAAGACAATGGATAAGCTGTGAGAGGATGAGAAAAATAACGAAGGAGAAGAGGAGTGGTGGGTTACCATCTCCTCCACTACAATAAAAGCACCCTCCCATATAGTTCCATTCCATTTACTAAAAGGTGTGAAGAAACTAACAACACTCCGTGGTACCCTCCTTCAACCTACCTAACATTAATCATCTTCATCTTAGCCATGACCCAACCAATCAAACAATTAGATATATGTGAAGCCCTAACTCTGTCCTTTTTATGCTTTAAATTTCTCCTTTCTTAGTCTTTTTCGCATATATTTATATTGTTCTCTTTTTAAAACCGTTTATTGATATTTGAGTTAATAAATTGATATATAGTAGTTGTCATTCCACAATAATGCCAAAGATGCTTAAAATATTCGAAGAAAATAAAACACAACGCCAACAACATAAATCATCTTCTTTTTTGTATTATAATTTTGTCGAAAATAATAAAATTAAAATTTAATTATTAATCTTAATCCTATCGTTTTTGACAGAAAATTATGTGACAATATAAAACTTCAATTGAGTCTGGAGGATCATTCGCCAGTAACCATCACAAGAGCTACAAGATCAACGCAAGCATGGCTAATTGCTAAAAAGCAAGAAGATTACAAATTGTTGAAAAATGACAAACATTACATATGTATATATATTATTGTAATGTAAAACACTACCAACCCTATGATAAGCAATTCTAGAAACAATGTTAGGTGAGAATACTCATGTTTAATAAATCATTGAACAAAACCATAAATAAAACAAACTTTGGTTAATTATTATTTTAACGATTAATTTGCAGCATTTGCGGTGGATGTAGTTTCTTAACCTTTCATTTAAGAAGATTCTTCTTAATATAATTTTGTATTACAATCTATTTTAATGAAGTCAAGGGTACAAAAAGACCCCAAGTGGCGAAAGGACCGGAATTAATTCAATATCATGTGATTAGGGTCGTTAAGTTGCTGCTTTCACAATAATACTAAAATATATGGTATGATGGGTGGTACACCAACCCCATATAAAATTAATTTTAACAAAAGGGTCCATGGAATGAAAATAAATGCCAGTTGAAAGAATGCCTTGAAGGGCAAAAGAGAGATGAACCCAAGAAACCTGCTGAGAATCAAAGCAAAACCCAAAGACAAAAAGATGGAGAAAGAGGTTGAAGGACACATGACATGGGAACTAGCTTCTTGGGAACAAAATCCAAAGAAACAATGGCCCCTACTCCCCTCATTCATAGAAAAAGGGGTCGCTTTTCCACAATTCACCATTGCTTTTTTCCTTTTTTCAAAGGTGTTAGGTAGTGACATTAGAAGCTTCCATGGAATATATATATTTTTTCTCTTTCTATGGAAGAAAATTATTTAACAAGGTTGTGTCACTAATAATTATAACAAGCCCTATCTATCAATAGGGCAATAATTGTTCCACCTTAATTTGTTAATAGTTTTCAACCCCACCATCATCACATGCATGCCCCCATGTGGCCCCTTTTGATTTTTCTTCTAGATCCATCCTTATTTAAATATATAATACTTCTTTAATTAATGTTCAATTAGTTCTTTGGTTGATGAGGAAAACCTGCTTCATCACTCATTTTCAGTCTGAAAAATTAGATTCAGAATACGTACTTTACTTTATTTTTATTTATATATTTTTTTCACTTGACCTTTTTACCTAATAATTATAAATCATCTTGTAGATGTACTTCTAAACTAAGAATTGGGTTTTAAATCTCCGTTTTTTAAGTTGTAACCGTTTAAATTTTTTTTATTTCTTCCATTTATTTTTAATAGTTTTATTTTTAATTTTTAAA